GAATGATTCTGCAGCAGAAGAAGGGTAGAGGGAGGGAAGACCTTAGGCTCCGGACAGTCTTAAATGGTGAAGTCTTTGAAGTTCTGCATGGATGCATCAATCTCCTTATTGGGGTCGCTATTGCTGTGGGACTGCGCGATCGCCGCTGCCTTCGGTGCCCAGGACATTTGCCTGATTGGCGTTGGGGATGACGGCCACTTCGGATCTTTGTACCCCAACCGAGAGGACGGAGATTAAAAAAAAAGCCAACCACTTTGACAAAATCTCATGCGGTACCATGACTAGGTTCTTTCAAACAATACCTTGTCAATCGTTTTGTACATGTTGTCTCAGGATGTCTCAGTGGCCGAGCTGTTGGTTTCATGTCACAGATTTGGATGACATGTCTTTCCAGGGGTTTCTCTGAATCTTGTCTCCACAGACCTGTATCTTTCACGAGGCCTACTTACTAGTAGACCAGTAGGCCAAGTGTAGCCTTCCCCCTTTTCAGAATAAGGTCTTTCTCATAAATTACTAGCTCCATATTTACCATCCATCCATATACCATCCATATCCATATACCCTCCATCCATCCACCCTGTTGTTTCGAGAGACTGGAGCCGCTGGGAGCGGAGGAGATTGCCGATGAGTCCGGACGCTGGGTGCTACCCGTCGGGAGCGCCCGGAGGGACAGCGAACGTCTCGGTGGTCCGTGGCGGGCCACGTTCTCACGTTCCACGATGCGTTTGAAGTGAATGACATTAAAACAAGATTGTACAAATGTTTGAAGTGAATAACATTATATCGAAGTATATCGAAGTCAGTGAACACATTCATGAATCTATTTCCTGATCTATTCAATTCAGTTGCTTCCTCTTCTGATTGGTGCAACTTGATTCGGATCCGAGCGCCTGATTCCTTCGCCTCCGGTGAGGTGGATCTGAAATCTCCACCGAGTATCACCCTGTCACCCGCCGCGATGATGGCATCCAAGAAGGCGGGGGCCGTCAGACGTGGTGCGTTGGAGCTTCTCCCCAATTCCAGTTACTAGTAGCTTCTTGTTACTAGTCAGTAGTACGGCCAGGAGCCCCATTCGTAGCGTCCGATCGCTCCGTTCGTAGCGCTTCCAGGAGCCCCGTTCGTAGCTTTGTTCACGTTTTCTGATGACCCCCCTAGCTCACACCTTTCCAAGGGTCCGATGTGGGTTCGGAGTTACATTGGACATGGCATGATTTACGGCGTCTCATGGCATCTCCATGTTTTGTCGAAAAGACGGTCTTCCCAGGTCTTGGTGGCCTCTGCGGGAGTCTCTGAGAAGTACCCGCTCGGGAAGTCCGAGGCACGCAGAGCCCCTTCTTTGAGCACGGCGCGCTCCGTGTGTCAGCAAGAACGTAATGCAGCGCAGACCAAACTAGTAAGGATTAGTAAGGTTTTTCAAGGTCTAATAGAAATGGTCTATTAATGAGAAAAAAAGAGGAAAGGAGGAAAACGGTAATGTTTTGTTCTTTGTTTCGGTTGTTGCTTCGCGTTTCGTCCAGGAGTGGCAAATCGCATGGTCCCCTTTTGTGTTCTCAGACCTTTATAGACATCGTTCTTCCCCTGTGACACAAAGGGAGGAAAATAGGTTTCTTTGTGTCCAGGTTTGCCGGGTTTCAGCGCGCTGCCCGTGTGAGGCCATGAAGACAGCGATTGAAGGCATGGAGGGACCACGCGCCTTTCCTGCTCAGGACCGGCTGAGATGCGGTGACAGCGACGGGTGTGGCGGCAGGGCCTCCTGTTTGGTGTGGTTAATGGACATCCCTTAACCTCTAAGGAGCTATATAATTGGTCACCCCGAAACCGATGGCCCTGGTCGGCCCTGAATTGCACTGACCTTTGTCTTTTCTTTGGAGCCTTTAGTTCTTTAGACCTTTTCTTGTCCTTTTCCAGCATAGTTTCAAGGAAATCTTGGACCTTTTTTTCCAGGTTCAGTTCAATGAGCCGAAAGAAGCCATTGGCCAAGTCAGATTTTAGACTAGACAGGCCTAAACTCGAAACAGCTAAATGTAAAATATAAAGAAGGTGCGGCGGTATGGGTCTTCTCTTTCGCTTGGGGCGATTGGTGCCAAGCTTGGGATGACGAAGTAAACTCGTCCATCAACAGGTCTTGCGCGGCACGGCCTTTTGGCTTTTGGACGAGGTGCCGATCCGATCGACAAGTCTTCCACCAGACGAGTCACAGGGTGAAGTAGTCATTGGACAATGAAAGCGGGTAGCGCGGGTAGTGCGGGTAGAAAGAAGGAAACCGGCGGCGCTGTGGTGGAATTGTTTTGCTCCTCACATGACGTGGTTGTTGATGGAGGTGGTTGGCATTTGGATAGGTAAACATTGATAAGATCAAAGACGCTACTAGAAGCAAAGGGCACCGCTACTAGGAGCAATGTTCGCTACTAGGGGCTCTAGACTTGGGAAAAAGCCCTTTGTCATTCAACCTTCCTTGGTGTCAATTCCTGGATGTCCATGATCAACGCCCGCTCACGACCTGTGACACTTAAGATCCCTCACAGGGATTCCTGATGAGATGCACCTGAGATGAGATGCACCTGATTCCTTCCTAGCGCTTCCTGTCGGGGTGCCCAATAAAAACCCGTAAGTAGTGTGGAGATGTCCAGCCAGGTGAGCCCGAACGGAAGCAGCTGGGACCAGCACTGTTTGCCGCAATGCAGTCTTCATTTTGTATGTGACGTACGTACCGCCATCCAGTCGCCTTCCTTTCCTCCCACCAACGGCCAGGCAGCAGCCTCCGCCCTGAGCCCGGAGCCCTGGGAGCGGTCTCGTTGCTTCGCCCAGAGCGAAGCCGAGGACAAAAAAGGTCGAATCATAAAAAGCAAGATCGGTCTAATATAGTTTGCTAGGTTGGAGGCTATGGCTCTTAGGTTGTAGGTCATTGCTCTTTTAGAAACAAGGCAAAGAGAAAATGGAATATAAGGTCTGTTGAAAAGAGAAGGACAGGGCTTTCTGATCCGATCGGAAGTAGTCTCACAGCTGGATATCGAGAAGACTTCTCTTTCCGCTTGCAGGGCGATCTCAGGAGAAATAGAATCTAACTCAACCTATTTTTAGGAAAAATTACATGTTCTCGTCTGTCGTGTTTCTCGTGTTTCGGAAAAATGTACCTTTTTAGACCTTTCTCATCCCGTCTTTCTCTTCTTCCCATCCACGCCGAGGTCCCGGCTTGCGGTGAAAGTCAAGCTCATCGCTCTGTGAGCTCGGACGGAGAAAAGCGAGCCAACCGCTGTAGATCGGACGGAGATGTTCCCTGGCCGGGTCCATTTGGGTCCAATCGGATCCGATGGTGGGGCACCACCGGATCTATCCAACTGAAAGGTCCGGGCTTGAGACCGAAGTTGGTATGATCCGAGAATTGCTCTACTGACCCCGCACTGAGATGGCTTAACACCTTTGTTTCAGTGTTCGGCTGCCTTCCGAGCAATTGGCAGGTTCAACGGTTCGAGCTTGGGAAAATATGATGCCGACACCCAGTACCCGAGCAAGGCTGTTGAGCAGCATGGTCGGGGCATAGCTAGTGATTCCGGGTGAAGATCAGGCAAATGTTTGTTGTCGCTACTATTGTTTGGTTCTTTGGTGCCTAAGCCCATCCTGAGCTGCAGAGTTCAGACACTTCGGAGAAAACAGCCAAATAGAAGGTGTCCCTTTTTTAAGCCCCGTTTTTGTTACTAGTAGCTTTTTGTTGCTAGTAGTACTGGCCTCCAACCTAATAGCGAAGGCCTCCACCTAGTAGCTTCTGAAGAGTTACTAGTAGTAATGAGGTGTTTCTTTTTAAGGTCCATCTTTGTTTTGGAAGCAGAGACGCTCTTTTCCTTCGACTGTTTTTTCCGTTCATCTTCACACCAAACGGGCCACCAGCTTGTCGCGTTGGGCTTCAGAGCTTCTACGGCAAGTCGGGCAAATCTGACCCAAAGTGGTCAGTGAGATGCGTTTGTTCAGAACAATGAGCAAAGTTTGAAAAGAGAAAAGGATAAGTGTTATGCAGAAGGAACAAGATCTGAAAACATGAAAGACAGGCACCAAGTTTGACAGAAGTCTTATCCAATATGCCGAACAAGAAAAACACGAACAAGAAAGAACGCTTTCTCTTCAGAGCTGTTTTGATTTCCATGTTATGTACGTGTTTTCCTTATTTAGACTTTAGAGTCTATATAGACAGACACTGTTTCCTTTCCTTCTTTCATTCTTTCTTTCTCTGAAGAACGACCTCTTTCTGCACAGACACTGTCCACTTGCTGATGGAGGGCACTCCAACCAACCGAGCAAACCATCGAGACACCGCATTTCAGCTCCAGCATGCTTCCAGGCACTACATCGCTTCCAGGCAATTACTTTATGTAATTGTTTTTTCCTTTACATGTGTTTTGTCTATTTGTGTCCCTTCATTTTGCCGCCTACTGTATGTGTTTTGTTATGTTTTGTTCATTTCTTCTTTATCTGTTCTGTTTGACATGTTGTCGCTTGAAGTGTCCGGGGGGCCCAGTTACTCCAAGTTGGCCGATGTGTGGGTGTTTCCTCCGAGCCCAGTCTCGGTCCGATGGTCGGTGTGATGGTACTTACTCACCGCACCGAGGAACAAAGCTTGTCGTACTTGCTGCTTGGGGTGATCCTTGGGGCTTTGGGCTTCATCATCGTCGCTTGGAATTCACTCAGAGTTCACAACACCGGGTTCACTCAACACACTGGGCTCAACAACGATCCTTTTCAACAGAAAAGCAACGTCCACGTAGTCCATCACTTCTTTGAGCCAAGAGTTCTGACGGGGCCACCAGTGGTGCCTTCTCCCGGTTTGAACCACTGAGCTTCGCATATTAAATGTTGAAAGCTTCGCGGAATCAATTGGTTGAATTGCTGTCCCACTGAAGTTTGACAGCCTTTGAATTGTTTGTCCCACTGCTGCTTCACACCTGAGAACCCACCACCTCATAGTCCATCCACCATTCTTCCATCATGCCGAGGCGGTCATTCCCTTGATGCTCAGGGCTTTGAGCGGAACTCTGGGCAATCGGAATTTGCACCAATCCTTTCTGCCCTCGACAGTGTCGGAATTGGTCTCCGAGTGGCAAAGCGTGGAAGCGCGGATCTTCTTCGGCTTCGAGCTCCTGGCAGTGGGACGTGGGACCGAAGACGGGTCGAAGACGGTGCGAAACAAACGGGCTTGGCTTTTGGATATGGAAGGATCTGGTAGGATGTCCCAAAACAACGGGCACATGTTTTCGCCAGAGAGCAACTGAAAGATCCTCGAAGATCCAAGAAGTTCCAGCCACGTGATAAGTCAGATGTTCTTATGCAATTGTCCGCAGATCTTCTTTGTATACTTGGGGTACATACTCTTTGAGATAATCCGGTGTGATGGCCTGTGCTCCATGTGCCAGGCCTTCTGTATCCTTCTGTCCTGGTATCCCTTCAAGCTGCGCAATGCGGGTTGTATCCCAGCAGAAGGAGGTTGCTACATTCGCGTCCCCTACATGCCATTCGCCTCAATGTCCTGGGCCATCGCTCGGCAGTTCTTTCCACCGGTCGGCTTGGTCTTGGTGGCCTGCGTTCCTTCCGTCAAAGCACCATGACAGCAGTTTTCGGACAGCTCTTTAGTTCTGCTTGAATGCATAGGAACACAGGCAATTCTGAGAAGACCATGGCTCAAAGTGGTCCAAAAGACAATGGCCAAGCGTTGGCTGACAACACTGTCAACTATTTTTTTGTGATGGACACCAGGTCACCAGCATTTCGCGTTGGCATAGAAAGAAAGTAACTCCTTTCTGGTCCCTCATCCACAATTTAAGATGCACCGTTGATGTAACATCACGCCTCCTTGAACCAAAAGCTGTCACATGATACAGCCACTGTCAAAATGCAATGAGAATCAAAGCTGTCAGTGGAAATTGACAAGGTGTAGCTGGTTCTTTGTTTCTCCTAGGAACGAGTGCATCGCTACTTTTCCCTGTTTGGTTCACGCCAGTGGTGTTGGTGGGCGTCCAGCGCCACAATAGTTACAGCAGCATACAGCAGTAGAGAAAGTGCAAAACGCTAGTGACCTGAACCAGGACCAGGAGTCGCACGTTCTCGACATCAGCAGGCATATAGCAGGTCTTGATCACGATAAAAAGGCTAGCTAGAGGATTGAATAGAAAGGAAAGGTCTAATGATAAATTACGAGTAAACGGCAGAATAATAAGAAGGCGTAAAGAACAATGGCAAAGACTTGGTCTAAAGAAAAATGGTTGAAGATGTCCAAAGAAAAATGAGAAAAGAACAAGGTCAACAGAAGAAAAGAGGAAGATCTAGAAAGAAAGAAATTAAACAAATAAAAAAGCAAACAAGGTCCACAGAAACCAAAATAGAAAAAGGAATCGTCTAAAGAGAAAAGAGGAATGAAAGGGGATGGAATAGCACCTATGAAATGACATGGTGACGTGTGCGGATACAACTAAAGTCTTTCCCCAAGGAGGGTCCTGAAAACTTCCTTAACCTTACCCAACCAAATAGGCATGGCCTCGCGATGGCCTCCAACCTCAGAGCGATGGCCTCCACCTTAAAGAGCGACTAAGGTCTCTCCCCTAGCTTTGCCCTATGCTACCAGTGATGTTTCCGCTTCGCCGAGGAAGAAAGCTGGGACGCGGAACAATTGGTTCTCGTGGTGGTTCACTGTGTCTCTGCCTTGCTGATGTTCACGGCGTTCCTCTTTTCGGAAGCTCATGCGCTATCCTTGCGGCCCTTCAGATGTGCAGTCACCACTCTTGAACCCGGCTCTTTAGAGTACAAGCTTCGCTACATCACGTGGCACTTGGCATTCTGGCCCTACTTCCTATTCACAGCTGCTTGCCGTGCTTGCTTTTGTGAACTCAAAACCCCCCCACTAACTAGCTAACATGGGCTCAAAGGTCCTTCCGCACTGTGTGCTTTTCCAGCTGAGTTGATTCAAATCTACAACTTCTTCGGCGACTTGCATCCCTACATGAAGATCATTTCCTTCGTGCTGGAAGTGGACGCCGGCCTGGCGATGCTGGCAAATCACTATGTGATTTGGTGCCCCGACAGAAGCACCTGCTCAGTTCGATAGTTCGATCGATGGAACCTGGCTCCATAAGACACAGTCCGCTTCCATTGCAGCGGCAAAGTGCAAGCGCAACTTCAGTCAGTGTCTTCAGACTGACAAAACCTCTCAATCTGAATGAGACGGTTTGCAAACCGAAAACCGCAAAGGCTGGGTTTTTTGGACCAACATACTGTACCCACTTTGAGGCATGCGGCATTGGTTGTTCTTTGGGCCTGTAGACCCGTTGGTGGGGGTGATCACATGTTTTCAGCCAAGATCAATTCACACAGCCGCCATCAGCAGTTAGCCTATGTGAGAGAAACCTCCCAAGCCACGGAGTGACCTCAACCCTTCTTGCAAGTGCTGGTAGGTAGGTGCTTCACAACCTGACTCGAAACCTTCCAGAACTTGGGAAGCATTATGGCATTTCTCCTTCAATCCCACACAGAGTTCCAGTGTTTGGGGAAGGCTTGCGACAACCTGTTGAACCAATGGGACCCTTCGGTGGTTTTGCTGGTGTTGCCTTTGGGTCTTTTGAGACCTATATAGGCCGTTCTATGAAATTCCTTCGGTTTTACCGTGTGGTTTTCAACATCCGAAATCCGTGACACATCCGACACATCCGAATTCCTGCTTTGCCCGCAGGTATTTTGCACCCGAGAGGTCTTGGAATCCACATGGTTTGGAGCTTGCTACCAGGAGTTAGTGCCTGGCTACGGCAGCCCGATGAGACCGTGACCAAGAAGTGGCGCTGGTGAAAAGTGCCGCTCGCGAGGGTTCCACGGAGGCCCCAGACGAGACGGGTTGGATTCAGACGGTGGACACTTCCAACGTTCTTGGTTGTTCCTTGCCATGCCAATGTCAGCTTTAAGGGAAAGACTGCATTAAGGCCTTTCTATCGACCTTGAAATTGGGTCCTTTTGCCAGAGAAACAATAGGACAAGACCCACAGCAGAAAAAGAGCAGTGTGATGGAAGGGCATTGGAAGTTTCAGAATAGTTTCAAGCGGCAGCTTCAAGAAAAGCAAAAAGCAAAAGCAAAAGAAAGAAAGAAAGCTGGAGGTCGAGGTCTAAAGAAAGAAGAAAAGCAACGTAATAAAAATCAAAACTAAAATCGGATCAAAAATCAAAACAAAAAACAACTAAAATCCAAAGTCATAAAAGCAAAACTAAAATTGCAGAGCAGTGCTCGTTCTGAAATCGGACCCATTTGCGCCCCACGCGACACGCGCAAGTGGGGCGCCGCATGCCTTCGATGCCTGGGCGCGCAAGTGTGCGTTCAAAACGAATGGCAAACATCTTTTAGACAAAAGAACCGTCTATAGAGGACATCAGTCAAAGACCTATATTTGTAATAGCCTCCAACCTAGCGATGGCCTCCAACCTAAGAGCAAACAAAAGTTCCTTTTTTCTGCGATTCCACTTTTGGGAGTCCAAGAGGGCACTTGTTCAGAAAGGCCCTCGGAAAGACATGCTGATGTCTCTTGTTAAAACCTCCGAACCCGACAGCGTCTTTGGGGCCACAGGGAAGCGCCGGACATGTGAAGGGACGTGCAAAACGACACTGATCAGTGAGTCGCACGGCCCAAGACAAGGTGAGATGGCGGGTGTGGAGGCCGAGAGATATTTGTAGAAAAGAACTGGAATGCACCAAGCTTGAAACCAGTGCAAGCTGGAATGGATGAAACATGATGAAACCCTGGGACGATTGAAGAATCTGATACTCCTGTGCTATTGAAAAAGTTTGGAGAACCCACCACCTACAGCCAATTGCTCCAGCAGAGCAACTTGGCCAAGTGGGAAGCAGTTGGCTAAAAGTTGCCTTTCTAGTTCCGGCCTTGAGTACTGCTGGAAGTTTGGCTACAGAAAGACACTACTAGTGTCTAAGACAGTGGCTAGAGCTGAGGCATTCCGCTTGCAATGGTATATTTCATTGCGCAACTTGACTGTATTTAAAACCGGAATGAAGTTGAAACATGTTGAAACCTCCTTTTGTCCCAACATGAGTCACCATCAAAGTGTTGCCAAGGCAGCCACCTAACATGAGGCGGGAGAGTGGAAAACACAATGTGTTTCGAAGAGGTCAGGTTTTACCGCAAGGGAAGTTGGGCTGTTGATGGCTGTTGTGTTGTAGAGTAAATCCATATCATTCACACCGCGTCGGATTTCCCAGGAACCCACTTGCAGACCTAGAGAAGCAAAATCGAGTTTGTAGCAGCCACACCTTTGAATGTAGCAATTTGATGCAATTTGTATCTTGCAAACTTTTTGAGATACAAAAGGGCTCAATGGTACACTTCTCATTTGAGTGTCTCATCCTGTACATGCTCAGCAAATTAAAATCTGTCATACTCCTCATCATACCGTTGAGCTTCATGTTTCAAAGCCAACTGTATGTGTTTTCTTCCATTTTCTTCTCATTCACTAGGGATGTGTTTGAAGGATCCCGCAGGGTCGCTCTTCATGTTTTCATAGGTCGCTCTGATTGCTTCTTCCTCTCATCCTTCTGCGGTCAGTCCCTCATTGATCATCTCGGCGTGTCGTTGGATCCTAACCTCGGGATCTTCTTCCACAACGAATCCTCCTCATGTAGCTCTCAAGGTGATCAAGACTGCGTTTATCCTCCTCTCTTTGGTCTTCTCAGTGCTCCAGTTTTGTCACTCTCTTCTCAACTTCTCTTGTTCTCTCATTCAGCCAAACAAGCTTTCCTTCCACGTCTCTGTCAATCTTCATAAGACTGAACCAACTGCCACCGTGATCAAGACAATCATGAAAATCATAGTCATAGCACCAGTCCACATTTAATTGGGCTCTTGGTGCACATAGCCTCCTTCGAAACACATGTGTCCCCTTTTGGCCTTCTTGACGTCAAAATCTTGAGTAGCCCTTGGCTGAAAGCCCTCAAAGGAAACCAGCCTCACTAACATCTTTGCAAACGTGTTCCTCTCATGGCAACTTCCGGGCCAATTCTTCTCTCTCCCAATGACCAATTAGCCCCAGCAAGAACCTACTGCAATCCTTTGGCCTTCAAGTGGTTTTGTGCGCGCTGAAGTCCCACCTGGTCCATTAACCATTATGATTCATGATGATGGCAGGGCTTGCTTGCTGGACGTTGCTCCAGAAATTGCAAAGTTTTCCGGTATAGTTAACATCGTTTTGACTTTTTTTGTTTGCGCATAAGTTGTTTCTGCATGTCTATGAGAAAGTTTTCGCGGTTTGTGACTCTGTGCCTGAATGTTTGGCTTGGAGGCGGCTTTGTGCAGGCTCGGCTTCGTGACAGAGTTCGGACCAAAGGGAAACCTGAATGATGGCATGAATCTGCCTTTCAGCAGTTCTTTGCAATCCGTCATGCCAAGTGACACATTTTCTTGCCTGCGCCCTGGTAGGCAGCCCAACCTGATGAAGTTTTGCAAGGTGGGAAGATTTCAAACTTTGTTAGCTTCAGCACGCAGAAACCAATTGCTTCAATCGCTGGTTGTTCGCGCCGAATGTTTTTTCGCCGGCAACCCTGATGCAGCTGTCAGATCAAATTTGCC